AAGAAATTGAAAAAAAAGTGAAAACATTTCCTCGGGGATTCCTTGGGGATTCCTCGGGCTACAACCATTTCGACGCGCATCCGGAAGAATCGGGGCGTCGACGGCAGCTCACTCGACGACAATTTTCGAACTCAGCTGGTCCATTGCTGTTCCTGGCGGCCTGTCGACGGACATCTTCGGTCGGCAACGTTCGGCGTCATGGAATTGTCCGCCAATGGTCACCGTTGCCGGCCTGCCGGCCTCCACGACGTCCAGAAGGGGCTGTCTTGCATCGGTGCCCTTGGCCCCGAGCGGGAAGGCGCCCAACAGTCGGCAGATTCGAATATTTCCACCGGCCCCCGCTCTCCCGATTGCGCAGTTTCTTCCGTGACGGAATACGTTACCCTTCGTTTGTCGTTGTCTGCGATCGGCCGTTTGCACCACTGTTCCTCGCCGTTTCCTGGACGTCCACCGCTGTCTTCTAGCTGTTGTGGTCGTCCACGTGCCTTTCATGGCCGACGTCTTTCGGAGGCTGCCGCTGCTGGTGCTGGTTGTCCTCTTGCTAGTCGTTTTAGTTGTCTTCCACGTGTGCCTCCTCGATAGCATTCCGCGACGTGCACGCAAAAGACGGCCTTTGAAGTAGGACGTCGGGATGGAGGGGCACCAGGCGATCTGAAGGTCTGCAGGGGAGCAGGGCGGTGGCCACCGGGCTGGGCAAACCCCGTCGAGGAGTTCAAGGCCATTGGATCGGTCTGGGTACGCGCATGGCCTTTGAAGAAGGACGTTAGGATGGAGGGGCGCCAGGCGATCTGGATGTCTGCAGGGGAGCAGGGCGGTGGCCACCGGGCTGGGCAAACCCCGTCGAGGAGTTCAAGGTCGTCGGAGCGGTCTAGGTACACGCACGTACCACCGCACTTGCAACCTCTGCCTGGTATGTCCGGCGAGAAGGCGGATGAGACACGGTCACGGACCGTGCAGCTGGGAAGTGGGTCCACCCAAGAGTGGGCGGCTACAGAGCTATGCGAGAGCCACGACGGCGCGTATCGACAGTACTACACCAAGCTCCTCCAGCAGGGGCTCAGCTGAGATGAAGGCGATGGCAACGTGAATCTGTCATTCAGGCTCTGTAGCCGGAGGTCGTCGGCCACCTCGTGAACGGTCGTCGTGTGTCCCCACCCCAACGACGACGGCGGGCAAGTGATGGTTGTTGTGCGATCATCGAAGTCTCCGGCTCCCTTGTCCCCCGGTTCAAGTGCGGCCCACGTCGTGGCGAATGCGGGGAGACGGATTCTGGCTTCGACGATATTGGTGACGAACGGGACGGGAGGGAGGTGTGGGCAGAACACCGGCGGGAGCTCCGGTCAGGGCGCGAGGAATCCTGAACTCGGGGGGTGCACCGACTGCGTGTGGGGGAGCACGAAAAGGAAAAGGAGTCACCCGTTCAAGACAGGGACGATCACGACGACGACGACAACGACGTAGAAGATGGGGAGGAGGACGAAGGCTACGTTTCGCTGTTCAAGCAAAACAACATGGGAGGCAGGGGCTGGAAGACGAAGACGTCTGCTCGCAATGGTCGTCGGGGGAAAAAAGTGGCGGGGAAGGGGAGCGATGCCGACGGGGACGGTGACGCGGAAGGAGGTCGACACTTCTGGTCCGTCGACCACATTTTAGCCCTCATCAGGGCTAAACGTGACCAGGATGCGCATATGCAGGGGATGGGTTACGCCTACGCTCGGATCAAGCCGCGAGAATGGAAGTGGTTAGATGTGGCGCAGAGGTTGAAGAAGGTGGGCGTCGACGGAGACGCAAATAAGTGCGGGAAGAAGTGGGACAATTTGATGCAACAGTTCAAGAAGGTGCATCAATTCAATGGCTTGCCCGGGAAACAAGACTTCTTCCAATTGTTGGCGAAGGAGAGGATGTCCAAGGGCTTCAATTTCAACATGGATCGTGCGGTTTACGACGAGATACTGGGGTCGACCGCCAAGAACCACAACATACACCCGAAGAACGTCGCCGACACGTGTGCTTCGGGTGGTGTGCGTCTGCCGTACGCCTCTTCTGCGGATCCTAAATCTGTGGGCGATGGGGACGCTAGTGCACCGCACGACGACGACGATAACGGGTCAACGAAAGGTTCTTCTCAAACGACGGGTAACCCCGACGGTTTCGGCAAGAGGACGAGCACGAGGCAGCAAACTTTTGAAGCGATGACAGAATGCATGGAGAAGCATGGGGCGCTAATGGCGTCGACGATGGAGAGCGCCAGCAAGTGCAGTGCTCCATCCAAATCCAACAGTGCGAGGCGTTGGAAGCGGAGGTCGAAGTGCAAAAAAAGCACTACGCAGCGTTGGATGAAGTCAGCAAACTGATGTGCTATGCTTTGTTGGAGATAGCGAAGGCCATTTGTGAGCGTTTGGTGCCGCCTTCGTTGTGCGCATTGTGGCTTGCATGGATGTGGATGGCGCGAAAGCGCGAGCCTTTCCGTCGTCGTTGTAGTCGTGTGTGGGCCGTCGTCGACGCGCCGGGTCTCGATTGGCCGTCGTGGCAACGAAAGTGGGTGGTGATCCGATTGGGTCGATGACTCCTCGTGCAGTGTATCTTTTTAACGCAGAACGGGGGAATTAAACTCTCGTTGAATCCCGTTAAACTCCAAAAAATCCCGTTGAATTCGCATTAAACGCGAAAATGGGCCGCTCCCACGCTTTTCGAAAAAATGCCGCCCCCACATCCCCCAACCCCCAATGCCCCAGTTATGTGTGTGTAGGTGTGCTGTGTGTGCGCGTATCTGTGTATGTGTGTGCCTGCCGTGAGTGTGTCTGTGCATGAATATGAATGTATGCACGTGTGTTTGTGTATGTGTGTGTTTGTAAGTGTGCGTGTGTGTGTGCCTGTGCTTGTAAGTGTATGTGTGTGTGTATGTATATGTGTGTGTTTGTGTATGTGAGTGTTTGTAAGTGTGTGTGTGTGTTTGTAAGTGTGTGCGTGTATGTGTGTGTTTGTAAGTGTGTGTGTGTGTGTAAGTGTAAGTGTGTCTGTGCCTGCGCGTGAGAGTGTCTCGCCTTACTCACAACCTCGTTCCCCAACGCACAGATTCCACTTGCACCCAAGGACCACCCTGCGCCACACCCAGCTTACAGCAGTGCAGCTCGGCTATGGCTGCATTCTCCTTCCTGCTCGCCCGTGAGCGCGTGAGTGGCACGAGCTACAGCGCGGCAGCGCTTACGCACCATGCAGTCAGCACCCGAATGCCCAATGTGGAGGCAGGCCCTTTGCTATATCGAAGTGGCCTTCCTGTGTTCAGTCCCAGGAAGCTTCCAGTAGGCCCCGGTAACCTGAGGCACAGCACGAACGAGAACAGGCCTTGGGCCTGAGGTGGTTGCATGCCCCCAACTGCCTTTGGCCTGTGTTTGGCCCAATACCCGTATCCAGCCCAGGGCCTGCTTTCCATATATTCACACAGGCGGCCCAGGACCTGGGTTCCCTCAACCAACTGACGCCAGACTCATGCAACCTGCTACAGGCCCAATTTTGTGTGTGTGTGTCTTTTTTTCCTTTTTTTAATTTGCTTTTTATGGTTTTGCTTTTTTTTTAAATACACAAAATTCCAAAAAAATAAAATAAAAAATAAATTGTTGTACATCTTTGAAAGATCTACAACCCTATATTTTCTATTTGTTTTTTTTGTTTTCGTTTTAGCCCTTAAAAAATTTGTGTGAAACCCAAAACAAAAACACTCATTTCATTTTAGTTTTTGTTTTTTCATTGTGTGTTTATGTTTTTGATTTTTTTAAAATAGATTTAAGCATCAAAAAATAAAAATAAAAATACAGGGTTGTAGTCCTCAACAAAACCTACAACCCCAGTTTTTTTTTTTTTTTGGATAATTTTTCGCCCAGGAAAAAAATCATCCCGTAATTCCTGTCCAACTCGCGTTTGAACGGGAGTTTAACGCGAATTCAACGCGCGTTGAATTTTTCAACGCGAAACCCGCGTTAAATCCAATTTCGGACACACAGTCCTCGTGTGTACATTGACGTTTTCTTTTTTGTTTGTTGTAGACTGTTCTCGGTTGGTGGGACAGAGAATTCCATCATTGTAGGATTTAAATTGGCGCCGTTTAAGTGCACAATGCACTTCCCTTTCTTTAATGACGACATGAATTTGCTTCGTCTCTCTCTCTCTCTCTCACACACACACACACACACACAACAACAACATATGTTTTGGTGTCATCTCCCGAAATGGAATGCACACGTGAATTAAAGGTGTCGTCTTTAATGCAGTCCTTGTATGGAATGCTTTTGTTGTTTTCGAAAACGAAATTTGCAGAACTACAAAATGGTGAATACCCTCACACAGTCGTCGATGCAGATGTGCTGGTTGCGTTCATTGTTTAATCGTCGTTGCGGGGTGGATGTCGTTTCATTACAAATGGAGATTTGGAAATCTGTTCTTTCATTTTTTTATTATTTCATATCGGTCTTGCTCCCCGGGTGGGGTGGTGGTTGTCGGAGGTCCATGGTGGGGGTTCCTGAACCCCCCCCTTCCATGTGCATGCTATGGCGCTTCGGCAAGTGGGGGGGGGGGGGGGGGGGGGGGGGGGGGGGTGAGTGGGGGCAGGGGAAAGTTTTTGGGGGCGGGAGGGGGTGGGTGGTTTGGGGATAGCGGGATCGAGGGAGTGTGGGCTGGGGTGTCCATTCGCATGGCGTGGCTTGGCGGTTGTCGTCCTATCCTGTTGTCGGGCGGGGTCCTTCCCTCTCCAGCATTCACCAAGGGCGGCGACAAGAAAGGTAGCGGGCCGACAGATGCACACCGCCGCGCACGTATTTGAGAGGATGAGGGCGCCCTCGCCAAATGCACGATGAGACTCCACACGCCCGCTTCAGACTCCACACGCCAGCCTTCTTGCCGTCTCGCCTTCACGTTCACCTGCTCCTGCCTTCTGCCCGCACATCGCCTTGTTCGTGAACATAGCTAGTCGCGCGCCCTCGACGATCCTCGCCTTCCAGCGGGGTCGCCGCCTTGCGCGCGAAGTCGACCGCCCTCATCCCGCCGCGAAATGTGCAAGTGATTGTCGTTGAGTCGACAACACGACGTCGCCATCGCTGCCATCCTCGTCATCGTAGCTTTCGGTCTTCATCACCTCCATTGTCATCTTCATCGCCATCATCGCCATTGTCAGAGCGATCGCCGCCATCATCACCATCGTCAGCACGATCGTCGTGGACTGCGCCGCGTGCTTTTCTTCTGCATCGCCATCGTCACCGTCGTCGCCGTCGTCGTCGTGTTCACCATCGTCGCCTTCCGAGCCATTGTCGCCATCCTCGCCATCATCGCAATCGCCGCCATCGTAGTCATCACCGATCTTTCGAAGCGCCAGTTCAGTCGTTGCCATCGCCGTGGAGCTTTCGGCTTCACGACTGGTCAGTCGGCGAGCGGTTGTGTTCTACGCCATGTCATCCCGCGGTGTTGGATGCGGCAAGACCGCCACCAACCAGGCAATGGAAGTGTCGGTGCGGGAGAGAAAGGGCCGACACAGCGCGATCCAGAAGAGGAAGGCCGTCCAAGGCGGGCCCTCGGGCGCAAGAAGCAACGCAGACGACGAATGGGTGGAGGAGGGGGTTGCGCCGCAGGAGGAGAGTGACTTCCAGGAAGAGGAGGAAGCGCCGTTGAAGAGGAAGACGGAGAGGCGGACGGGGGGAGGCCTCCGAATCGAAGAGGGGGGGTATGAAGGTCCTACAGAAAGACAAGGCAGAGCAGGCCGCGCAGGAGTCGACGATGTCATCGACGTGGAAGCCGCGGCAACATCCAGGGAGGGCGTGCCAGGTCGCGTCGTACATCCACATCGCGCGCCCGTTCCGCGTGTCAATGACGGCCCAAACGTGCACGAGCCTGCACATCGCACACTAACACCAGCAACCCCACGCCCGCGGACGGGTGTAGACGTTGGAGGGACTTCGCAAGCCGTCGCTCAAGGGAACATGAACGCTACCAAGGAGAGGGCGCTCAAGGTGCAACCATTGGTGTGCACGTTATCCACGGGTGGGTCTTCAAGTCCACGAGCAGGCAACGGGGGTACAACGCTGCATACGGGTACGTGTTGAACAACGCGGCAAATGATATCGCTCGAGCCATGTGGATGGGAGAGGACTGGCGTATTTGTGTCAGCCCCATGGTCTTCCACACAACATTGGACATGGACATGAAGTTGCCAGTGTGGTTCGTCGGCGCCGACATCGAGGACAAACACGAGAACGACGAGTTGGCGTCGTATCAAGAGGCGATCCTCCAACGACTGGTGGCGACTTTCACGAGCGCCGTCAACATGGCAGAGGGGATCGACGGCGGGCGGGTATCGTACGACTGGTTGAAGAACATTGCCGACGCGATGAGGATTATGCTCGCGGCGACCATGTGGCTCATGCGGATGAGCGGGGACGATCTGCTCGCGCATTACGACGCATGGTTTTTCATCCAACTGACAGCGAAGCCAATGCTAGTCGCATCCATGCATCGGTCATTCGACGCGCGTCGCCATATCCTCCAAGCTGCAACCGTGGTGACGGACAAGTTGGCCAAACTCCCGATGACTTTGGTCGACCCCCCTTTCTACATCCCTGACTGGGCGTCTTGCGGCATCACGTTCTCAAATGACACCACCTTGCCTTCCCCCATGGACGCCAAGAAGCTGGGTTGGCTGGGCACAGGCCCCTCGGATGAGGAAGAAGAGCACAAAGCCGATGAAGAAGCCGACGCAGGGGGTTTGATGAAGCGTCCATGGCACCCATCTTTGACGTAGCCGTCGCAGAATTTGTGAATTCTTATACGACGGGCGCGTAGTGGAGGCGGCCATCGCAGGGTGGGATAGGGTGGTCGTCGTGTGTCCCCAAGCAAGGCCGAAGTGTGCGGGTGCGTCGTCCATGTGTGTCTTCGCTGGGTACTTGTTTTTTTCCCCCCGCGCATTGCTGCTCTGCCGCCGGTCATTTGAAGACGGCAGACAACGACGATTGCTCGCCTTGTGTGACGCCCAACTATTTCGGGGTGAATGGGTTTTGTCCGACATGGGGGCTTTCGATTTTCTTCGGCTATGATATCGTGTGTGTTTCGTGGCGCTGTAGTGTTCGGAGCCAGCACTCCGTGTTTGTAGTCGACGTTGTGGAATCGCCAAAGGCGGGACGATTGTGGAAGTGGCCGCAAGGGAGGTTCTCGCCACGGGGTCGTTGAGGTGAAGAGAAGGGCGGGGGGACGTGTAGGGGGGGGAACGGGACAGTGGGGAAGCGGGTTTGGGGGGAGGGGCCATGGGAGGGCACGATCTCGTGATGCGGGTCTGGTTGGAGCGGTCCGCTTGTCGTAGGGGTGTGTCATGTTTCCTAACCTTTTTTTTTACAGAGACATGGATGATCGATGTTCGCAGGTGTTAAAGCGAACATGTAATTGTTCAATGATGTTAATGATGTATACAACTTTGCGCTGCTTGTTCTTTTTCGTTTCGTTGTACATGCGAAATGTTATAGCAGGTTTGTGAATGAGGTAAGGGCTGCTTTCTTGAAGTGATGGCATGATAACAATGTCAGGGATGTTTATAGCAGGGTTCGAGAACACGAAACAAACAATGAACACATTGCAAATATGAGATGGACACATGGCAATACAAACGAGGCACACGACGTCGTGCAAATCGTTTTTTTTTCAATTGGCGTAAAAGAAGAATAGAAGACCCACAATAGAAATGAATGACACAAGATGTTGCGAATTTGTTGTCACTCGCTGGAAAAGAAGAAGACAACAGAGTTTGAAAAAAAAGGGGTCGTCATGGCTTGTTAAATCCCAAGTTCCGGAAAAAAGAACACACACCTCCGAAATGGACTCCATGACCCTGACACCTCACCCGCGGTGACAGCGTACTACAACTAAACTACGATCGCCACGCACATGCTCATGGCGTGGCCCCAGCCGAGGACACATCGGACTGCACTATCGCCATCCACCCGCGCCGACAACACTCTCCTCATGGCCGCGCATAACAAAACAACACCAAAGGTAACTGGCCACACCTGCCGCCTCGTGCACGGCACCCCACAGCGAAACAACCCCCGCGGCATTAACTCCCCCGATCCACAAAACAAGCCGACAGACAAAACGACGCCAATGCGGATGTTGACCCCTTCAAGGCCATGTGGCCTTTCGCCGCGGACGGGCCACAACCTAACGGCGCCAGATCAGAGGGAAGCCATTTCATGACGACACGTTGCCGTCGGTGGAAGGGGGAACCGGGAACACCCCTTCATGTACGGTATACGACCTCTTCGCCGACTTCCCACGTCGTCTGCGCCACTTTCTCGCTGCAGGCACGTCATCGCAGTCGCTCACTCCGCACGCCTGGCCGCCTTCACTGCGCACTCATTTCACTCCGCCAGTGCGTCCTGCAGAATCAACGCATCCCCCGTCGATGACTCCCTACACATCGGCCTCAAGGGCCGGTGTATCCCAAGATCCACCCAACGACGCACACCGTGAGGGCCGACCTCCCACAGTAGATTGTCATCGAATGGGATGCCCGCGTCGATCAGTATGTTGCACGAAATGCACACGGCGACTAACTGCTGCGGCAACGTGTCCATGTTCGTCTTATGGGAGCGAAGGAACAACCTCCACATCCCCTTCAGTCTGTCGAAAGCCCTCTCGACTGCCCCCATCGTCGTCTTCTACTTGTTGTCAAAACGCAACTCCGACGGGTGCGCTGCGAGACCGCCATACGGGACAACTACCCATTCGGAGGAGGGAGAACTGTTGTCGCCCAGCAAATACCCGTTCGTCTGCACCTGGAAAGGCAGCATGACAGGTGACCCAGTGAAAAGCTCCCTTGCCTCCGCGCGCGCCCATAAACTGGACAGGTGGATAATCCTTACGTCGTGGCAACTTCCTGGATAACCGACGAACACGTCGAGCACGCGCAAGTTCAGATCGACGACCACCTGCGCCTGTACGGAGAAACAACGTTTTCTATCGTAGTAGTCCTCCCCGGGGGCGTTCGCGGGCTTGTCGATGTAGATGTGGGTGCAGTCGATGCACCCATGGCAGTTCGGGAAACCCTTGTCAGCGAAAGCGCGCAAGATGACCGTCTTCTACAACCCCGTTGGCCACGATATCTTGTCGGGGTATGCACTCAGCAACGCCGCAGTCACGTCCCGCACAACCACCAACCCAGACGATCTGCCAATGTCGAAGCTGCATGTCCCGCTCTCGTACGTCTCCCCTGACGCCCACTTGTACAAAGCGTACGCGACAATGTGGTCAGGCTGTAACAGCTCCGTATAGAAAGTGACACGTCGCTGTAGGAATGGAGACAAAGCTTCCGCGATCTCTCGGAACACACGTGGCAATATGCGCAGCTTCTCCCTGAAGTAGTCGGTCGTTGCGTCATCGCATTGCTGCAGATCCTCCCACGTCCTTCTTGTTCGTCGCTTCATTCACCACCTGGGCGTTGCTCTGGGAAAAGCTCCACGCCCCATGGCGTAGCACACCTGCAGCATTGCGTCGCAAATGGCAGCACTGTCGAAGCCCTCCACATTCATGGACTGCAGCGTCTTCTTCCGCTGTGCGCGAACCGCCGCTCTCATCCTCCCCTCGCTCCTCTCCATCTGACACTGGAAAAGGATGACGTTCACGGCCGCTGCCACCGCCGTCCTCTCCGCCGTGCTCAGTATGTGACGACGCGACTCCCCGTTCATGTCCATCGCCGTTACTGCTTTTGTCGACATGGACGTCGCAAACTACACAACACTCCACCAGCGTGGGGCACAGCACAGTGATGGCGCGAGTGACAACTGGAGTACACGGTGTAGACGTCGATGACGAAGGTGCGCCTGCGAAGACGACAACGATGGCGATCGTGTGACGGCGTGTCTGCTGCTTCGGATGTCTACATGTACGTTCGCCGTGCCCGCCAACACGCAGCCGCCACACTGCCGAGGAACATTGCTGCCGTCAGCTGCGAGGGACGCCCACGACGCTCTGCCACTCGCATGCCCAAATTCGAATTTCAAATTCGAATCACGGACTGCGCGCCTTTTCCAATGCCCTCATTTTTTTGAAGGCTGCCGACTTTTGATTTTGCGACGCCCACCCGAACTGGACCAACGACGTCGGCACGGACACAGCTCGCTGGACCACCCTCGCCCCCCCC